CGTGGTGTTCACCGAACACCGGCTATAGCTAAAATCCTCGAGAAAATAGTATATAACCAATTGCTAGACCATCTCATGAACGCCAACCTCATTCCCTCCTCTCAACATGCATTTTTGCCCAAAAAGTCATGTCAATCCTGCCGAAGATGCAACCACCACAAATCTACGAGGCCATCCATTCAAACTACGTGTGACAGGGGCCAGACTGGACACACGAAAGTTCTTCTTCTCCAACAGAGTGGTAGAAGCCTGGAATGCCCTGCCTGTGGATGTCGTTATGTCTGCTTCCGTCGAGGTTTTTAAGAGGAAGCTGGATTTATGTAGCAGTGTGCACTAAATTACCACCCCGATCTCTGTAACGTCGACAAATTCCGTTATTATAATACTACTTCCTATATTTCAGTAACATTGTAAACTGAACTTATTATTGTACCAACCCATCGCCTACGCTTACTGACATGCACATATGCAAATTTTGTCCCCGGACATATTATTTATTTCGCTACATTCGAAACGACAGCTCTACAACTGCTCGTACCACTAAAATTCGAGACAGTTTGTTTGTCTGTACAGACCTGACGCTTTTCCGATTATTTGTTACTTTATGATACCTTTTCGAGTTTTTGAGATTTTGCAGTTCCTTGTAAACAAATAGGGAGTTCAAAGGTGAAGACCTACATTTCCCTCAATAAACTGAACTGAACTGAACTGAATTGGGTTGGTGTGGCTTCCTCACTTGTAGCGATGTAACCACTCTTCGTGATGCCATGTCCAATGTTTTCAATGACATCCTAGAGCTTGTGCCGCGCAGATATCTCAGGTCTCATTCTTCAAATTGCCTTGTTCCTCATTTTCTTCGCAACAGACTAAAAATATTGAGACGGCAGCTGCGTGACCTATTCAATAATTCTTTATCCGTTCATCTTAGAATGACTGAGATTTCCAAAATGGCCTTAATGAGGCGCCAAGCGCGCGACAGGCAAAAAGAATATAATGGAATAGAAAAGGTTTATTATAGCACCCCATGGGCACTGCCAGTCTCCCTTGAACACAGGAAAAATACCTAAAACGAACTCACCCATTTCGACTGCATTTCGAATTCATTTGTTTTGGGTGTCTGTTTAGCCAATACAGCGCGATTTAGCAGTTTGTTTTAAGTTAAAAAATTTGACTTCCAAGGAGTAATAATGGAAAACGTTTTAAGAAAGAACAATGTGTACAGTATAAAAAGTGAAGTGTGCAGTTTTTTAGTTTCCGTGGGGGCATGAGTAATATGTCCTTCATTGAAATTGAAGAACTTTGATATCGGCCTGACCTTGAAAGTATTTTCCAGTTGGGTAAAGTTGGGTGTTTTCTAGTTGGTGGTTGTCAGTCTATCTGACCAGCCGTAAAGGGGCGTCGCACACATCCTTCGTGTTTTTCAGGAGGCTTGTCATAATTGTCTGGACTAGGAGCTGGAATGCTGAATATATATCAGGAGTAGGAAACATTCAAGGTTAAATCAAAATCAAAGCTGCCAAAATAATATTGAATGTTGTATCATATTTTTCTTGTGAATGTGACATTATAGGAGTAGTGGCCGAATGTAAACTATGAACTAATAATGTTGTATATATGTTTAATATGACCTTAATATAGACTTACGTACAACTAATACGCAGGGCTTTATCGAAAGAGTTGTTATTATTAGCTCCTTAAGAGATATTTAGTGTCAGGTGACATAGCTGATAGAAACGACAACGGGAGGAAAGAAAGAATATCACTATCCGTTTTTTGTTTATCAATGATGCTGTCTTTCACAAATTTGATTGTTTTTAGTGCTATGTTCCAGTATTATTCGAGCGGCTGGCATCATCAGAGCCCTTTCAGATAACATTCCATATCAAAGAAGTGACTTAAAAAATTTCCTATCTTATTGAAAAATAAATGAATATTGTTATTTGATACCCCGTTTTAAATCGGTTTCTAAATCCGCTGCTATCACTCCTCCCCCATAGCGACGATTTTCTCGGTGTTTGATGTCACCTCCCGCATTTCGACTTCATGCGGTCTGTCGACGCTCACGGCGGATCCGTCAGTATTCGCCGTCTACTAGTAGTTTGGTCGTACCTCCCTTCCCACTCCTCGGCTGGGCTCGAAGCGTACTGTGGCCGATCGCGTCTGGGTTCCTCTCGTCTGCCTCTTTGACACACAAAGTCTCATCCGATGTATCAATTCTGACCTGACGATGTCCGTTCTGAATCCCGTATACAATACCATATACGGGCCAGTCCTGTCTGATCCGCATACGTATCCCTCAAGGTTGGCATTTATTTCTGCTCTGACGATGTCCGATTATAATTACGGCTGACATTTATTTCTGCCCCGACGATGTCCGATTATAATCCGTTATAGACCGCCACATGCAGGCCGGTCCAGTTCGCATTCTTCTGTTATTATTATTAGTGAGGGTTTTTTCTCCTGTGGAATTAATCCAATCGTTTTTAACTTTTTATGTGAAGTTCTTTTCACCGCTCACTAATCATTTTTCTTAACGGACTACAAATCCAAAAACTATGAATTGCATTTTGTACAGATTCTGCCTACCTCGTCTAAAACACGTATTTAAATTATTTTTACTTGCTTTGATGGGACCCCGGCGGATCTATAAGAAAAAATCATTATTATTAAGCAGCTCGTTGCTCGCGCGAATGCCGCCTTTAGCAAAAATTTCGGCCTTGTCAAATTCGAATGTTTGACCGGATCTCGTCAATTGAGTCGCAATTTGAAAGCTGGCATCATTTCCCCGCACTGCTGCGGCGTGTTCGGCCATTTGCTTTCAGAGCAGCCTCTCGGTTTCCCCAACGTTGTTGCTTTGCCCGCAACTGCGACGGATTTGATAACGGACTCCAACATTTCTCGCCGTGGCAGCGGGTCCTTCCGTTGCATTGACCGACGCCTGAGGGTTGCCTCCGGTCTGTGTGCAACTCCAACCTCAAGCGGTGCGAGAAGGCAGCCGACAGCTTCCGAAACCTTCTTGACATACCGAAACGCTGGCCAAAATTTGAAGTCCGTGCGGTTTGGCCTCTGTACGTATGTTATTCCCCGCTTCAGCAAACCATGGT